ACGCTCTTTGCCAAAACTGATGMGAAAAGAACCGTTAGAGGTTTTCCGAACTTTATTTGCACTTAACAAAGTCTATCGCGCCGCAATTGTATGTTTTTTGACTAGACACTCTATTTTGACGGGAGCCCCTTGGGAAAACTGTATGAAGAAATTCGAGGTGGAATAATCCTGTCACTTTCTCCTCTATTGCTTGGGTTTTGCTAAACCTACCGAAGTGATATTGTCRGCCTTAAAAACTTGGTAGTGAACTCAAATCAGTTTGTCGATCTATGAGGTGATGCATTTCAAGGAGTTTTTGGATAACATAAAGCAAAAATATCTATCCAAGTCAGATACATTGATTTTTTGAGATCAACCCTACGACCTGACCTAACTGAGGGGYTAGTTCACATATATACAGAYAGACGGTTRGAAGGACAGGTGACGMTCAGTYAGACAGATGGACGGTCATGGGTCTCCGACGTTTCCTTCTGAGTATTAGAAATATTCACGGCAAAATTAATATATTTCTGTCGTGAAAAGTTTATAAAGTCCTTGATTTGCTCAACTAACAGACAAACGTGACATGAAAAGAATACGGGCATATTAAAATTTAGTTGGAAGAATATAAAAACTCTATTAGGAAAGCTAGCAGTTCACTGTCAAATTGGCAGACATGCTAGGAGACTACAAACGTCATTTAATGACTTGTAGAAGCTATCASAGTCTTCTGTACGAAAGCAAATCTTTATATAGGAGAATGTCCAATTATCGTGGGATTGCAACTCATGAAGATGTCTTGGAGGTGGCACYGTCAGCACAGGGTAATTCAGAGAGGTGACAATAAAAATATTCGATTTCTAGTTCCCTCATTAACACAATGGGTCTGCTAAAGATCCAAGGACGTGTATTTAACAGGTCCAAGTGCGACGTTAAACAGCCGCTTCACCAGCGTACCTACATAAGGACTATTAGCAGGTGTCTTAAGAAATTATAGTACATCCCAGCGCTCGAACAAGTTCATCCAACACACCATAAAATAACAAGAAAAGGGAGTAGCTTCACCAAAGGCAAAACAAATATCGACGTGACGTCAGTACAAAATATTTCCACTATCAAGTTGATTCCATTTCGTTTTTATTAAACATTCAATTTCTCAATTGTACCAACTTTTCAACAAAGACTACCACAACCCACAATGTAACGCATGAAGGCTTTCCACTGCATTTATCCTATACGAGTATATAAATAAGTATATAGACCCAATAACCACATTTCTTATTCACACGCAATGTTAATTCTTCAAACCCCCAAACACGCACACACACTTACATACAAAAATGCCTGCCAATACCCTTGATTGCCGTATAAGAGTCCTTTCCTCCACCTAAAAAGCCCTGGACGCACTTAAAAGTCGGCTTTTATTTGAGTGCGCTCATTTTCCTTCATTTATTCATGTTTCTGGGTCAAACATTTATAATTTTTGACATAACCACAGCTATGACTCCACATGCACCGTGTTCATATTGCGCGTGAACGATTTCTATTGTTTTGTGTTAATTTCATTATATGCGTGATTTTGCGGTCAAGCGACCATTGGCATGCTGTGAACGTAGTCCTTACCCCGGCTATAGTCCTCCTTGCASCGGCTCTGAGTGCCGGCCTCCATCCGCGATTGAGTTTACTGTTATGSTAGGGTATTACTTTCAATGTGGCAGTGAGTGACAGTCCGTGTGGCATTTGAAAGTGACCKGTCAGCTGGCAAGGCAATTAATAAGCGGTTAAAGTTTTGTGTTTAATGTGGGTCAATTGAAATTGTGGGTAGCTTGATGGGCATGTCTATCAATATAACGGTAATATGAAACATTTCTTTGATATTTTAATCGCTTTGCCGCACATATCACGGGCTATTTCAGTTTCATGCATGATTTTCAATAAAACTACACTTTTTTTTTTTAATAGCTAGCGAGAGAAGGCTTAACTTTCCTCATTTTGTTAGAATTCGTAAAGTGGTGAATCGAACAAACAACTGGAACATACCAAATAGGCCGTATACTCAGCATAAACAGAGTTTATACTATTATACTTTATTTATTTCTTAACGTTCTCTTCTAACTGTATTGAACTGACCTGGATCACTTTTCTGTTGCTTTCACTTGAAAACTTTGGTACAAAAGAGCTTAGAACTTCGAATCGATTATCGCTTTTAACTCTCAAATAAATTAAATGATTATTTTATTCGACCTATGAGTTGACTGTTTAATTTTTTTCTTACCGTTTGCAATTCATAAAATATGCTTGGAAATATTCACCCAAAACACAGCTCAATATTTATAAACCCAGACTTATGGGATTACCGAGTAGGTGGAGGAGTAAGTTGTCAGGAACTCTCTATCAACTTCAGTTTCAGTTTTGACGGATGATCTTTGCTAAAACTGTATGGAGGAAGGCGAGGTGCAACCAATCTGTCCTCTAATGCTCGGCTTCTGCTAGACCCAGGTAGACATACCTTAAGAGAATATAGCGAAGTGGAATTGATATTGGCAGCCTTAATAAATTAGTGGTGAGCTCAAAATGGTTTATCAATTCTTGAGGGGAGGTTTTGGGTAATAGAAGGGAAAAATATCTATTCAAGTGAAATCTATAGAGTTTCTGCGATCAAGCCTACTATCTGGCCTGAGTGAGGGGGGGATTAGAAGGACAGATGTACGGACAGACAAACGGACTATTCTCATAGCAGGGTGGCGGTACTAGTCTTGAACTTACTAACCGTGCGCTCAGAGCTGGTTAGGGTATGCATAATCTCTTTATCAATTGCTGTGAGGTACTTTGTGAAAAGCCAAGGGAACGTCATCATAACCCTACTATCAGTGGAATGGGAACGTGTTGRGGTTGCCCTCTCTTGCTGTGTTCTAGCACTGGGTAGCCGAGGTTTGTGGGAGCTCGATCAGCRCTTGGCCACTATCGGTTCATGGACTGCCGTAATATCTTTTTGGCCCAAGAGCGATCGTAATGGATCCAATGAGATATGAGAAGGCTAACCTCTCCCTAGTTGTGGGAGTTCTAACTAACATTGCCCCAATTCGCATCTATTCTGCAAGGTTGGGGCGGAGTTCTCTTTTCTTGTCTTCACAAAAACTGCAGAGAGAAGCCTAAGTGTGATCTCTGGATCCGCCAACAAACCTAGCCTAACGTACCGAGCCCATTAATTAAAACATCCCTGTTGATTATTGTTCGAAAAGAACATCTTTCATATTTAGTCCAACAGTTTTTCAGTGCAGTACAAGCAATGTCGATCTAGTGAAGAAAGACCAAAAATAATTCTACAAACAAATATATGCAGACTTTTGCGGAAAACCTTTGTGAGCTTAATAGATAATCTGTTTGGATCTGAATACATTTCTAGAGATTTCCGATAGTTTTAGTCGAAACAATAAGCTACCGAAATCCATTTCAATATTTGGTCTTCTAAATTCAACATCCTTATCAGAGGTTATCCAAAGCTGTTAGAAATTTCTTCAACTGCATTTTGGATCATTGTGTCCGCTCACATACCGGCGATGGAATAAGGAGATCGAAGTTAGGGGGAAAGTTGGAGTGGGAGTCTTCTGTAATRAGTTAGCCGTCMATCTTAGCTTTAGGCTAMCGGACCACTGTRGAGTTTTTCTGGCAGAAGTGGCTGCTATTAAGGTGGCGGTAGACATATTGCCATGAAGTGCGGCCTCTTTAAGGGAGCTCAACCTTCACTCCGACAGCAGAGCAGAGCGACAGCAAGTAGTGTCTGCCCTGACTAGAAATTTTATCAAGTTACTTAGCAGGCGATGGACGACGATAGGCTCTTGTACGCCTGCAATATGCTTTTAGCCCATAGTCGAATTCAATAGAGCTTCTGAACTACTTGTACGTCATCAAAGTTCATCTTTCGCGCAATCGCAGGAGTTCTTACTAGACATTGTCGAACAGGCTTTCAAGTGGTAAGACTAAAAATCTGGATATACGCAAGTTGTCGCGGCTGTATGTAGAAAAACGTAAGTTGAAACATATCGGCAGTCTTACCTTCCGCGAACCAGGAGACATAGCARAAACTGGCATRAGCCGTCTCAACAAATTYTTKTGAGTCCCTCACAAAGCGCTGTCTCGCTGTAGGCGTTTTAGGTAACACAACAGAACGGCGTTCTAARCGCTAGTGACMTCTCTKTTAGAAACAATCTAATAAACTAACATAACCTAGCTGTTAGTTATTATTCATWAGCTAAGCTTTTCCACGGKKGGAWCAGAAAGACCACCRCTCCGTTGGAGARATCAGGTGGAGAAGGACCWGCAAGAAGCTTTCTGAAATCTTTAATGGTAGTCTAACTACTAAGCGCTCAAAATRTTTCTTGTCATTTAGAAACTTAACCACAAGGTCTAAATAGCATTAAGCAATTTCTTCAGTTTGTAAAATTTTAAATAATATCATCATTATATTATTTGCAAAATGATATAGTTTAAGTCTTTCCCAGCAGTTCAGTTAACTCATTAGTACATATTTAATWTTTTACACCATTTTCATTCAGTTATTGCCGCTATAAGCTTGATTAGCAGCAATTAAGAAGTGGAGTCTAAACGTGCATAAACATGAAGCACCTAAAAGTATGCAACAAGTTGAGTGCTTTATAGAACTGCACAGTTTTTAATGGCGAATTCAAGCAGTTGGCGTGCAAACGCTTAAAGGGCGTTGCTTCCCTGAACTTCGTTATTCAAAAGTTTTGCAATTATCTTGCAGAAATCTGCAAAAACAACAAAAACATACCATGCATACAAACAAAGTTAGTGTTACACTCACAGCGGGATTGCACGGCGCATTGGAGTCGAGCAGAGTATGTAGCTTATATATGTATGTATGTAATGCATATGTATGGCCAGCGACTACACATACACACACATACAAATTTATGCTATTTCGCACACTAGCACATATGTTTGTGTTATTTTCGCGAAATTTCTGGTTTTTTCTCGCTTAAACTCTTCATATAACTCACCTTTGCATCACAAACTTTTCCACGTTCACGAAACGGCGTCCGTTTGCTGCTGTTGCCAGTACATGTTGTTGTTGTTTTTGTTGCTGTTGATTTGCCTGTGGCGTAGGCGTGCCGCCGCCATTGTCTATAGCTGTGTAAATCGTGTAGGTGCCGTCCAATTCTGTATGCGCGTTGTTCTTGTTGTTGTTCGGTGTTAGGTTGTTGTTGTTATGCTCCTTTGGAGAATTTTCGGCAGAACGGAAATTATCTATTTTTGTAAAGGAAAGTACAGCATTAACAACTGTCTGTTAGGCATTTAAAAAAAAAAACAAAAGCAGAACCTGGAGCATAAACGCCGCCGCCGCCAACGCGCACCGCCGGCACCGCGCGCGTGCCCACCACAACTGGCTGCGCCAGCGTCGATTGCTGCGCGTGCCGCTGATGCTGTTGCTGGGATCTCTTGCGTAGCTGTTGTTGTTGTTGGTGGTGTTTTTGTTGTTGTTGCTGTTGTTGTGCGTTTATATGGTTAATTTTCGGATACGTTGAACTCATATTGATTTGCTGCTGTTGCAGTTGCGCATAAGCGCCCATGCCGCCCATGTACGTGGGTGGCTTGTGGACGCGCTTGTACGAGTTGTTCACATCCATGCGCTCCATGGCTGGGAACCTGCATGTGCAGTGGGCGTGTTTGCATGCCAGTGAGATGTACATAAATGTAAATAAAGWTAAAGCGCATTGGTTTTGTGAAAGTTTGCGGATTGCTGCAAATTTAATGCAAATTACCGTGAGTTCACCGTTTGCCGYGTGAAACGGCCGCTAATGCCYGTGCAGCTGTCGTTGATCGCTGCATTACCRACACCCACATCGCCAACACCGTTAGACTTGCAACCAGTGCCACTGCCACCGCCACCGCTGCTGCTGGTGTAGTTGCTATCGGAGCTTCTGCCTTCCATGGAGGAGTCCGAGCAGGATTTGGCCACCAGACGTCGGCTCATGTAGTTGCTGTAATCGGCTGCAAAGCGGGACATTTTTACCACAAAAACCAAATAAATTCTATGTATATATGCCTAATGCTCAGCATAAATACAATAYGAMATAACTGTACAAGTCAAGCAAACCATAAACAAATGCACAGTTATGTATGGCGGCRCCTGACATTTACGAGCGCGCATAAATATTTATGCGGGCGTTGTTAGGTCAACGTCATGATAAACAACCCACCCGGTGGGGTGGTGCCAGCATAAAACGTGTCGCGAAAGGTTGTGTGTTGGTAATGAAAACCGAAATATCGATAAACCGCTGATAATATGCATACAGAAAGCCATTGATAGCAATGAATAAAAGCTATTAGGCGCCAATATGTAGGTCATTGCCTGAGAATTTTGCCCGCCACATTTGTTTCACTATGCAAATGTCACGAAGAATGCTTGCACAAGATACGCAGTGACATGAATCTGTGTAGRCYACTCACCATTTGCGGTTTTCTTTGTGGTTTGGCCATATTGCACTGGCAAATTGCTGCCGAGTATGTGYTGGAAATTGTGCGAATGCAGGTCGTTCTGAAATAGAAAAATAATTAGTAGTAAGTTCAAATATTTATACAATAAACAAGGCATATTATGTTTGTCATGAAGCTTGTAATACCTAGAAGACCCTATACAGTTTATGTATACGGATATAAATGATTAGCATGAGAAACTGTGCCATGTTCGGCTACCAATTTATATGCGAACTAGCCCCTCAGTTCTTGAAATCTGAAACTGAAATTTTGCACAGCTACTTTTCTCTCAAAGGAGCTGCTTTTTTGTTGTAATTAACATTATCGGACCACTATAGCATATAGCTGCCATACAAACTGAGCGATCGAAATTAAGTCCTTGTATAGAAAAGTTTTTTATTTAACAAGATATATTCATAAAATTCAACACGAATTATTGTCTGAAGTAATGGTACAATATCCGAAGACATTGTTCAGATCGGACCACTGTATCACATAGCTGTCATACAAATTGAACGATCGAAATTAAGTACTTGTATGGAAAACTGTTTTATTTGACGAGATATCTTCGCGAAATTTGGCATGTATTATTTCCTAAGACAATAATGTAATTACCGAAGAAATTTTTCAGATCGGACTACTATAGCATATAGCTGTCATATAAACTCATCCATTAAAAACGTATCCTTCTTTGGAAAACTTTTTTATTTGACAACATATCTTCATGAAATTTGCCATGGATTTTCAAGTCAAGCAACGGTACAATATTCGAACAAATTTTTCAAATCGGACTAATATAGCATATAGCTGTCATATAAACTCATCCATTAAAAACATATCCTTGTATGAAAAACTTTTTTATTTGGCAAGGTATCTTCACGAAATGCGGCATAAAATATTGCCCAAAGCAACAATGTAATATCCAAAGAAATTGTTTAAATCGGAASACTATGGCATATAGCTGTCATACAAACTGAYYAATCAAAATCAAGTTCTTGTAARCACTCTTTTGTATTTGTAAAGGCAAGCAGCAAAGTCAACATGTTCTCTTGTTTTTATGTTCAATAATTTTTATATCCATTGCTAAGTATGAATAAATTTTGATGACTTCATTGATCAACCTTTAGTATGAGGTSTATTAATTTCCAGTATTAAATTTCATAGAATCAACAACAAAGCAGCTGTGCATTTTTCCTGTCCACCGTTGCTTTTGTTAGTATACAGCTAACGTTCTTAATATCATCACTCACTCACCCATGCCTTAAAATTARCTGGCACCAAATTGAACATCGGAAAGGCTTGATAAATATCGACCATTTTTCGTCTGCTATACTTGGGATCAATTAGAAATGGCAAAACCATTTATTGCAATAAATTTTAGTTGTTATTAACAGAATTTAAAGTCTTTCACTAAACCGGCACACCAATACGGCAAAACAAAAGCAACACTTAATTGTTATTATTGTAAAGTTTAGTCGCGCGTTTCCGTGCGAATTCGCTGCAAACCTTAGACAACAAAAGCCGAACAGCAACTGTCTGTCTGCAGGCGCGTCCCAGTCAACGGCATATAAACAAACTCTGTCCCGCATACATGCACACAAACATATGTGCGCGCAGCAATGTGGTTATATATAGGAAGTACATAAGCTTTTGGTAAATTGGCACGTCAGTTGTCTATCAGCTGCTTTTCCAAATAGACATTCAGACACATATTAAAAAATTTAAACGGCTGTGTGGGTATTTAGCTCCATTGTGGGTGGGTGTGTGAGCGGGTAGGGGGGTTTACAACTTTGTTAACAGCATTAATCAGTTGTTGTGATAGTTTACAGTCACCTTATGTGTGTTTCTAAATGTTCCTATGCTTAAATTTGCTGCTTGGCTTTTAATATATATATGTATGTAAGAGTTTGGTAGTAGTTGTGTTCCTGAGCCGAAAAGAGCTAGTTGTGTACCACTTTGAAACTAGTAACAACTTACTTTCTAACTATTCAGATGACCAGCTTTTTTCACTTGTTGATATTTTTCACATGATGATGATATGCGATATATATTTTGCCTGACTTTCGGTCAGCTCCAAATAGGTAAAAGGCAAATCAAGTGTAATTGAAAGGTTATGTTAAGATGTGGATCTCAAAAATATTTTTTTTTATTGAATATATGCGATGTACATATTTTTAAGAATGTTATCCGACAATTTGAAGTTGATCCGATGAGAAGTTTCGGATATATGAGCGCTTTTTTAAAACTTCCCAAAACTTTACTTCAGAGTCTGCAAAGTTTCTCGAAGCGGCTAAATCGATTGGCGAAAATTCCTTCTTAAACTTCTTAGATACATTTTTCTGGTAACTATTKTAGGAATAAGATTTTTGATATATTTTTAAGCCACTCTGAATCGATTTAATTAAGCCATATCCGTCTGTCTKTATATAMGCGAACTAGTCCATCMGTTTTTGAGATCTCAATCTRAAATTTTGCACACATTCTTTTTTCCCTAAGAAGCTACTCATTTGTCGAAATTACCGCTATCGGATCTTTATAGCTTAAAGCCTGTCTCTTATACACATCTAGATGTGTATAAGAGAGCTGTCATACAAAGTGATCGATCAAAATCCAGTCCTTGTGTGGAAAAATTTTACATTTAACGAGATATCTTCATGAAATTTGGTATAAGTTAGTGTTTAAAGAAACGCTACGATATCTGMAGAAATTTTCCAAATCGGATCATTATATTATATAGCTGCCATGCAAACTAATCGTTTTAAGTCCAGTTCCTCTATGGAAAACCTTTTCGTTTGACGAGATATCTTCACGAAATTTGACATGAGATATTGCCTAAGGCAACGATGTAATGTCCGAAGAAATTGTCCAGTTCGGACTACTATAGCATATAGCTGTCATACAAACTGGGCGATCAAAATCAAGTTCTTTAAGGCACCTTTTGTATTGTAAGGGATATAATGTCTTCAGTGCAAACGAAGTTAAGGATTTTTCTTGCCTTCTTCATTTATTATCAAATTGTAAGTGGTTATAACCCCTTTAGAACTGAACCCAATTGAGTTTGAACAAACACATACAAGGCACTTTTGTATGTTCCCGATAAAATCCCAGAACTAAACCTGAATAAACTGCTTTGGTTGCTTAGTTTTATTAGTTTGTTAAAGCCTTATACTTTCGTTGAATATTTAAAATTGTTCTCTATATCTAAAATTGTTCTCTATTTTTTCGGACTAGTTATCTACACTTTTCGGTCTAGTTATCTATACTTTTCAGACTAGTTGGCGAGTAGTGAGAAAGTATTGATTGTAAATTAGWAGGATTCCTTGCTGGGTTGTTTGGAATTGTTGTGGTTGTGCGTGATTAGGTGTGCCGCGCCTTATCTCTTGTATTTTTGAGAGTTATGGCTAATTTAATTTTCCAAGAATTTCACACCCTCACACCCTCACACATTTTACATATTTATTGTTCTAGTTAATCGAATAAATGGCAAATATAAATATTTGATTGAGCGAATAAAATTAATTATATTTCAAACTGCGAATTTGAAGACTTTAAGGCACGATTATATTGGAAAATCCAAGAAAAACTTGAAAATTATGAACCATAGCCATAAATAATTTATTCAGGATTATTTTTCACTTTTTTCATATAAACATAAGCGTAAATTTATTTAAAAAAAAAAAAAACTGAAAATATGAAGAATGTTTATTTTTTATAGAACCAAAAGTGATGTCGTTATATTTTCCTGGGTCGGAAGACAATAAAACCGCACATTGGTTTCAGGATAAGAAATGTGTTTATATATTTCCAAGGCTTTCCCACTTTTCAAGGAAATGTTTCGCAATAGAAAGTACAGCAGTTCTTGATTCTCCACGATTATGCTTTTAAAACATTATAAAATATAATTTTCAAATCTCAAATTCACTTGCTAATCCACCCTAATGTACTTATGTGACATGCCTGTCACTCTTTCAATTAAATCGATATTATAATTTATAATTCATACCAAATCACTTTCGCTATCAGGTCCACTGTCCATTTGTCAGCTGGACGGAGACATTTTTAAAGTGAAGAATTACACACACACACATATATAGTGCTAAATTAATAATTCTTAGGTTAAGCTAATACTAGTTGACCCGCCACACAACAACTAGATAACTCAAATATAGACATGTGGAAGTTGCTACATTATTTAAAATTTATGTAGTTCATACGAAACACTGAAAATTACCATGTGCGTGTATGTATGCATATATAATATATAGAATACTATATATATGTTACATATGAAGCATTTGTGCTATAAAATAAATGGAAGCAATTTTTGAATGAGGTGAGTCTACGTAGCAGTGCCAATTGGGACAGCTTGACTATGGTCAAGTCACGAAAAGCGCAATGAATGAGACATGTCCATAACGGATAATAATTGTTTTAGCACAATTCTAGTGTTCAATTGACCTGCTTTGGCGAAAACTAGACTAATTGCATGGGTTATTAAACCGATTAGCAGAACATTAATCGAATATTCGCTTGCCATTTATATTTGTACCCCTTTCCATATGTATACTAAACATAACGGGTGATCTGAGTAGAGGAATACTAAAATACCGACTAATTAGTTACCAGTCGAAATGATCGAACGAGTCATCGAAAATTGGACTCAACAGATGATCTYTCTGTGTTTTTTTTTCTAAGTAGGATCTAAAATGGATTACCCTTCATAAAATATAAGTATTTCGATATAAAATGTGCAGAAAATCCTCAAAACCACAACTGCGTTAAAAAAGTTTGTACTTACATTGTTGCTGACCGAGGAGTCTCGRAAATTGCCATAAACATCGGGAGGCGATTGAAATGCATGTCTACGCTTACCATCACCATCGCTCATACGAAAGCTGCGTTGAAAAGAATTGTATTTAATAGAAAAAGTTGAAAATAACATCACTGAACTCACCTGCCACACGGCGTGCCCATGGCAATACCATCCACATCCGAAATACAGTGTGTTGGCAAACAGCGAAAGCTGCGTCGCGAACCTCGGCGCTTTAAGGAASCCGGCGATACAGAGCCGACACCCGCTACAATCCACTCAATATCAGCACCCATTTGACCGTGTGCCGCGTCCGCTGCCTCCGCCGAATGTGGCGAGGGTACACGTAGCGCATATTGCACCTGTCCGTCGGCACCGATGATGGGCATTTGCTTGCGCGAGAGCCGCGTACGTAGAGCCGAAAGCAACGCTGGACCGTCATCCCGTTCGGCGGCTATGTCCTGCACCACATCCAGCACTGCCCGTCCGCTGGTTATTTGTCCCAAAATGGCCAGCACATCYAGTGCAGCTTGWCGTACGCGTCGCTTGCGATTCAAGGCAGCATAGGTGGCCTGCGTGACGCAGGTTTTCGTGTCGAAGCAGGTGCTGGGAAAGGTCGTAAGTGCGTACATGACCATTTGTARCGCGTGTTCGCGGAACTATGTGCAGCGTGAAGGGGGAAAAAAAGTGGTAATGAATATGTGTGTTGCAATTACAAGAGCCAACAATACGGCGCAGCGGTCAGTAATTAAATAATTGAGAAATTGCACAACAAAGTAAAACAAAACGTATGGAAATATGAAATAAATGGTGGTGTTTAAAAAGAAGAACGGAAGTTCAGCAATTCTTGCCAATGCAAAGTGACCACAATCGCATCAATCGCAAACAATGAGCACAGCACCGACAACTTGCCAGCAACTGGGCCAGTTGAACTTGTTAAYATATGCAGGCATTTCATAATTTYTCAAAGTACTGCTGCGGTCAGCAGACGACCGACCGACGGACACGTYGGTCAGCAGGCAGGTTTGCACTTGTTTCCTTTGTGGCTTGCTTGTTGCTTGTTGCACTTACCCTTGAGCTCTTTGCATGTAAAAATTCTTGCGACAGCAATTTGAGTACAATCGACGCCGCCGGCAAGCGATGCATCAACGCTTTGCATACGCGATTCGCGCCAGCGCCACCCTGGCGACATAGGCCGGTCATTATTTGTGTTGTGCGTTCCTCCAAGTTGTCCAATGGCAAACGTGTTATGAGATTGATTAGTAGCTGCTTCTTGGCTTCCGCCACATCGGGATTACGTTCGGAGGAGAGCAACGTGCGCAGTAAACTATCCAAACATGGCAGTACCTGTGCCAATGTATCGGAGCTGCGTAGCGCTTCTTCGAGYTGTGCAACGCCCTGCAAGCGATGATGCCAGTTCTAAAAGTATAAAGAGACGAAGAGAAGTAGTAGTCAAACAGAAGAGCAAATAATGCRTCATATAGTATATGCAGAACCAGCAGGCTTTTCGAGTGTATTTTGCTTTGCATCAATTATTGAGCTTGAGGGAATAATATTTTTGGAAAGCAGAGCAAGCTAAACCCTCAGAAAAGCCTGTAGTGTGGTTGCTTTCTGAAGGTTTCTGATCAGTTAGGAAGTAAGAGATTTGTTGCTAGAATTATTCCAATTGACTAGTGACTGTGTGGGAGTCTTCTGTTAGAGATCGAATATAGGGTTTGTCCGGAAAGTAATAGGACTGATTTTCTTCCGCCGCGACTTTATTTCGGTGGGTGYGTTCTAGCCAACGAACGAGTGGCTGGTCAATTGTCTCCGAGAGAGTCAGGACAAAAATGTTCGCGTGTTTCTGTGAGTGCAGTGTTCGTTAGAGCAGAGTTACGCGATTGAATACTGTTAACTTCGATAAATTTGCGACAGAGCCGTTTGATATGATCAAGCAAGCTTACCCAGATGTTGCTTTAGCAAGATGTGGTGTGTTTCGGTTGCACCAGCCCTTTTTGGAGGATCCGGTAGAGGTCGCTAATGAAGACCGTGCTGGGAGACCTGCGACATCGATAAACACCGACAATGTGACACGTGTGCGCAAAGTTTAGAACTAAGACCATCGTCCATCATGAATTTGTTTCTCCTGGACAAACTGCCAACGCTAAGTTTTACGTGGAAGCCCTCAAGAAACTCAAGCGAATGGTCAACCGGGTCCGRTAAGATATCGCAGCCGATTGGAAGTTGCAACACGATAACGCCCCTTTCTTGTGAAGAGATACCTAATCAAGGTCGGCATCTCAACGCTTCCACAATCGCCCTATAGCCCAGATGTGCCCCCCCGAACTTTTTTGTTTCCTTGCCTGAAAAGACCGATGAAAGGGAAGCATTTTGAGACGACAGAGGAAATCTAAGCAGCTTGCGCCTCGGCTGTCAAAACTATTCCGGAGAATGTCTTCCGTGACGCCCTCAGTGCTTAAAAATCGGTCCGGCAGCACGGCATCGACGCAGAAAGAGTCTATTTTGAAAGTTTTTAAAGAATTGTAACGATTGGTTAAATAAAATTGTTTAAATCGACTCAGTCCTATTACTTTCCGGACAAGGCCTGTATAATCTAGAAATGGTATCGTTTCGAGCTTAAACTAAGTAGTTGTATTTAGTCAAATTGCTTATCCCTAGGTCAAATCTATGTAGAAGAAGGGAAGCTTTAGAACATGGGATCATTTGAGCCATCAGTTGTTGTTGTTGTAGCAACAGAAAATATTCCTGAAGTAATATGGAGAAATTTGACTCTCCTTAACAGAACAAAAATCTGGATCGAATCGGTTAGGTAGATCCAACCATCTTCAGAACGGCCAATGTCTTTAACAGTGCTGCTTCTATGAGTGAATTTTAACAATTTTGATTTGCTTCTCAGGGTTTCTGCTGATAAACTTGAAGCCTGCGACATTTTTTCTGGCTATCATTCAATATTCATTAAAATCTTTTCATTCTTTCCGACATTTCCATCATTTGAGTTTGAGATTATATTTTGTTCTTMCTCAAATTTACTTTTTATCAACAAACAGACCCTTAAGCATTACTGTATAGTAATTGTTAGATAAGTGAATTTCAGCAGACAACAAAGCACTTAGGTTAAAGTGAAAGACATTGTTTTTTAAGCTCATGGCTAATTGAAAATAGCCTTGATCACGCGAAGCGCCCATAATCGCCTCTCCAATCAACGAAATGTTGTCATTGCAAGACAGTTAAGGTTGAAAAGCAAAACGTGAGGGAAATTGGCGGAAACCACACCAAGAGCCACTGTGCTTTGATCGAAACAGTTATGCGCAGTTTCAGCAATTTGCGTGCATTTTTCTTTTCTCTTTACGTTTTCTCACTTCTCCTCTAAAGTCGTGCTAAGACAAGGCAACTTGATTTGAAATCGAAAATAAAAATGTTGAGAAGATTTTTTATTCTTTCAAATATTATGAAATTTTTAAATTTATGTAAGGACTTGATGATTAAATATTAATAAAATTTTTTTTTTCTATGAAAAATGTATTTATGGAAAAAAATTTGATATTGCATTGCTTTAATAATTGCTATAGCTCGCTTCGGCATTAAGTGGCGATTGTAATTAAATCAATTATATTATTATTATTATTATTTTCTTCCCAATATTTGCATTTTGCTGCCATTGAACTCTACAATTGCTTAAGTACTGACACGTTCTTTTTGTCATGTGCCTCGCCTTACTCATATATTTATACATATTTGTTTGCTGACAAGAACTCAACCACGGTGTGTGTGTGTCACTTACGTCCATTCTCTACCATTAAGACTTGCGACTGTCTTTAATCGATATCTTATGGTATTGTGTCGAAAGTCAACACTACACTGGGCCTTTACGCGTATATGTGTTGGTGCTTCCCCTTTTTGTTACTTTAGGTACTCGTGGATGTGTTTGTGTAAATTTCTCACCATCGACTATCTTCTGTTGGTTGAGCTGTAATGTGGTTGTGGTGGTGGCTTTTACGCCTTACTATAAAAATCTTCAAGGTTAATGGGTATTGTTGTGAATTTTTAGCTCCTTTGCGCGTTGGAAATTTCTTTCAATTAGTTAATTATTTAAAAATTTTGGTTTAAGCGCATGAGACATGTTAGGTTTGAAATTATTTGCTAGCTAAAGTTAATAAAGCGGTCTTTGCTTTTTAGATACGCTAGAAGCTCAATGGACTCATATTATCCAGATATTCCTATTTCCATGTTTATTCATTCTTTGAGAAGTTTTGTAAGAAATCTTTTCTTTCTAAAGCCATAAGCGTAACCCGACCACATGTATATTTATAACGCGGGGTTCATATTAAGTACTAAAAAGCTATATTGCGAAAAACAAATCGGGTATCATATTATATATGTATGCCGATCTCTATAGTAATCAAGCCTACCAGACATTTCAGCAGAAGAGTATGGAAAAAGAAAATAATATCGTCCCATCATTCCAAGCGACGGCATTACAAAAAGGCTGAACTTTACAACAAAGTTTAAAGTTACCCTCAGCAGTAAGACTAACTGCAATGGTGCCACGCTTGACCTACTACTACTGAGGGACAATATAATTCAGCGACTTGAAAATGTCGACAGTCATGGGTGCAGGTATTGCAAAACCCCCAACTTTCCATACCCATAGAGGGTTTTCGCACATATCTCAAGCAGATGTTTGTTTTTTTACATATTTCAAGCTTTCCTATAAGCCAGTGTGTAGAAATTAATCTCCAACGCAACTCTCGCAATCAGTATATTGTCATATTCTACGATAGTTAAGTGGCGTTTGAAGCTATCATATCATACTAAGGTCAAATTGTTATTAGTGAAGTAGTGCATTGAATGGCTGAAAATTCTATCAGTTTACAACCATGAACACCTGAACTGAGTTCCGGGACTAGTCGGCGCTACGGTTTTTACGATGAAGGAATCAAAAGGAGCTGCTCTACGTGGAGGAGAGAGTGTTTAGAGAAGGTATTGTCATCACGCAACMGATATGCGCCAGCCATGCAAAGTTTCTAATGGGAGGTTACAACCTAAAAAGTTTGARAACATGATAAACCTCCCAAAGACGAATTCCATCTATTAATTTTATTCGACACTGCGTAGGCAAGCTCATGAGGCACTTGTCCAAAATAGACATGGCCTTTTGTACATAGAGCCGATTTTGTTTCATGGAACCCGGAAACTCCAGAGCACCTGATTCGACATTGTAAGGCGCAAGCTTTATATGGATCACATCACCTTCATATTGCCCAAAAAGTTCCTGGAATTTAGAGGATCGCGTACGAATAAATAAGGGTCCGCCTTAAAGATTCTTAATGGGTTAATGGATTAATTTAACGGCGTCAAATTACAACTCCGAGGTGCTAAATTAAGATCAGAAGGAAGACAATATGAAGTCGAGGTGAAACTCAATTAACTTGGGCTAGGTTAGGTAAATAGGCTTATTTTCGTGAAGCGATGAAGAAAAGTGTTCGGACTGCTAGAGAAGCTTGTCCATTGTGATGCCCAGAACTTCTTATTATGAATCAAAAGTACTGTCAGATAACGAAAAACGYCTACAGTCTACCACGAATAACAAGTTAGGTCATCTAAATTATTTAGCCTTACTGCTTGGGTGCTAAAGAGACAGTTTCCAATTAAGATTCTTATTTTTGTGGCGTAATGAGCCTTGTCAGAAGTTAATAGTTCAAGAAGACTTTTTTCCATTCTGGGCCAGAWGGCTTTCRTGACCGCACAAGTGCTACTTGCMGATCWATGCTTGCTGAGCTCGCGCGAAGCYTACGAAAGCAAGGGAATCCTCTCTCGTTCCCATACTGATAGAATTYGGGTTTGGGTGCCTTTTATACAACTCATAGTCTCTACAATTTCCGAAAATTCAGCTTTGGTCAGGCACCCAAACAAGTTTAATATGGTAAATAAGCTATTCCTTGACTGTATTGTTAGTGAAGTCATGTACTCCTTCACAAGCATTTAACTCACCGTCAGCAAACTCAAGACCTATGTAGCAGCTCTGCTATTGGAGTGGATGCATACCTGCTTGAAAAAAGCCGCAATTCGGAAAAGTGCATCTGTTGCTACCTAGATGACTGGCATTTCTACTTGAAAGTCATTAAAGTGGTCTGGCAGTCTGAGCCAAGAGTTGACTGAGAGTTCCCGATAGAAGACCCTCCTTCTCTCACTTTCGGCAAGAAATTAAGTAATGGCGACGGTTCCGCTATAGACGTATTCTCTTTTATTTTCCAATATCATGTGATGCAAAAACAAAATGAGACCGGCATTGGCACTAAGACTTTGTAATTAATAAACAGTTATTACTGTGCCGGTTTACATTACTAATATCCCTACTCTATCCATATTCAATTGATATATGTTATAACAGCTGGAATTTAGGGCATATATTATATTAA